ATAGTGGAAATATAGATGATAAATTGATCAAAAGTGGAGGTCAAGGACACTAAGACCTTTTTTCAACTATCTTTGTTTGCTTGGTGTAATAAAAATTATGTTAAAATGTATTACTCCTAGATGAAAGAGAGATACTAGTTCTGTTGGGAACAAGACAAGAAATTTACCTGAATCACAGTTTTACTAATTTATAGTTACTTATTCATTTATTTTATTTTATTTTATTTTGAAAACGACTGTATATTGGGGTTCTCCATTCAGGTTGAAAGGGCAATTGGACAAGTGGGAAAAACAAAGATAGAGCCACCGGAAGGAATAAATTAAGCTTTGTGAAATAATTGTAAGGGATCATGACCTCTTGAGCCCACAAATAAAGTGTAAAGGGTCATGGGCTGTCCTCCACACCCAAAGTTCCTAGTGCCGTTCTGTTCTGTCCAGTCCTCCCAAGGCATCTTTATTCAATCAAAAAAATGGTTCTGATTTTCTCCCCTGTTTTCCATGTTTCTTTATTTATTTTTTTTAAATCTTGTTTTTTTTTTTGGTGGAAATTTTTTTTTAAAATATTGTTGACATAAGGATTGTTTCTGAGGCCTTCTTAGTTCCTATTACATGGTTAATAACAAGCACGATTAATAAAACAACAAATCTAGTTAATCTTTAACATGAATACAACATAAATTTATGAATTATTGTTAAATTTTTTAGAGCGAGATTTCTTCACTCAACATTCATGACGTTTTATTTTTAGTTCTTATCTCTATTTACAATGTAATTATATATGCTTTTAGAGGTGTGAGGTTAATTCATATATTGTCATGAAAATGATTTTGCCTACCATAACATGGACCCATATCATACACTAACAAATTAAACTAAGTAACTAATCACATTAGATTGGCCTGTTTCAGAATATCTTTCATTTTCTTCTTCTCCTGATTATTAATTTATGTCCCGATGCAGGAAAAAATCAGACTCCATGGACACCATAACTGAGCTAACAGTCTTATATTCTTTGCCAAAAACTTTGACTTCCTGTTAAACATCTCTATCTCATTCTCACATTGAATTGTCCCTCTTCAAATCAATTGTGTAATTATATTAGGTTTGGCTTTGGGGTGTGTTGTATTGTAGACATTAATTTATTGCTAATAATTGGCTTCAAGTTCATGAACTTAATTAGGTCCTAAAAGACTACTGACATTTTCCTGATTTAACAAATATTATAATAATCTGGAATGAGTACTGTCATTTACAAGGAAAAAAGAGTTAGCAAGATCATTATGTACAGTTAAAAGAATAGATAAATACAGATTGACGAAATTCACTGGCTGAAAAATGTTTCATTACACTCTTCTGCTGATTCCCCTTCAATTCAAATTTTTGCATCCTACAAGACATGAGAAAAATATATCTTTAATTTCTTCTTCCCAAGAAAAGAATTGTATCACATTGTTTGTTTCTTAGAACCACAAATCATGTTTTCTTCGTTTTGCAGAACGAGGAAAAGATACTCCGACAAGAATAATTTGTAATGGAGCTGAAATTTGTGGAAATTCGCTGCAGTAATTTTTCATTGCGCATTTTTTTTTTAGTCCATTCAACGATAGACATAGAGAATCTTTTCTCTGTAATTTCAGGGAACAATTTTTTCACTATGGTTCTAAGAATAAATTAGGAATATGGAATACTGCCAAACGTTTAGGTCTGAATATTTGGCTAATCAAATTCTAAGAGCACATGACACAGAAGAAAACTACTCCGTTGTTTTATTAATTTTCTTCTAATAAGCATGAATTGAGAGTAAATAACCAAAACTTAAGGAGGGTATCCTTATTTCATCTTGTTATTACAAAATTCATGCAAGGAATATTCATTCCCTCTATAGGTTATGCTTCTTTTTTTTTTTTGAACATGAAAAATTTAAGAGAAGAATTTTTTTTTTTTTTAAGTTGTTGGTAAAAGTTGAATTCTCCATCAATTATAATCAAATGCTTGAGGATTAGGTGCGAACTATTAAGTTTAAAAGTTTGATTTTGATAGGTCCGGTTCCTATAGGTCATGCTACTTGATGGCACAAAAAGAAAGAAAGAAAGAAAGAAAAAAAACACTAATTGTTGGTGAATATTAAATTTATTGTGTTGTTTGATTCGTGAAAAATGATGTCTTAAAAATTTATCCATAGTATGACTCGATAAATAGATAAAAGCACATAAGATAAACAAACTAGTCAGAGATAGAAATGAAAGCGTACGTTGAAATTGTATGGCAATATGCTTCTGACTGTTGAATGATTGGCAGGGAAGGGAGGCAGACCTCTCAGTTTTATGTGTGATTGAAGAGGAGAAGTTCAAGATGAAGTTTTCATCGATCCCAGTCCCCACAGCCAACTTAAGTTTTAAGTTTTAAGGGTTTTTTTTTTTTTTTTTCTAATTAGTGGACCTCACCGTACAAAACCAAAGAATTATTGTCCATGAAACTATGCTTTGATTTTTTTTTTTTTTAATATGACTACGATTGAGGAAAGAGAAAAAAAAAGGGAATTTATGAATTTAAAATTGTAATATAAGAGAGTGATATTATTAATTCAGGATCAATACCACTAAATTAGAAACGCAAATTATAAAATTATGCTTTGATACCTATGACTTGTGGGTGTTTGTATCACTTCCACTACCTTGACAGGACAGATCATAAATATGAATTCATATGAGTTATATATTTTTTCAAAGGGAAAATAAATTATGAGAAGAGGAAAACAATCATCTAGATAAAAAATGAAACTATAAATTTTTTTTTTTTTGATAATTAAACGTTTTTAAAAATAATAAAAAGTTGAAAATATTTTTATTAAAATAACACAAAAAATTAATTAAAAATATTTAAACAATTTCTCTATAAATGCCAGGCCACATTTATTCTGCACTGGTTTGTGTTTTGTCCTGCCCATATAATTTGGGTAGCATGGGTTTGGTATAATGAGGAATGCTAGCTGCACTCGCCTTTCTCCAGCACTCTCCAACACTCCCTCATCTAAAATAGCCACGTGAACTTTTCTAGTTGGAAACTTTGAATTGCGAGCCAAATTTTGTTACGTGGACATTTTACGTGAGAGAGTGTTGGAGAGTGCTGGAGAAAGGCGAGTGCAGCTAGCATTCCTCTTGGTATAATAATCAGTAAACTGATAATGGACAACCAATGAGGGGTTGCATCAAGTGGTAAACGGCTTGTTTCAATTTAAGTAAAGTCTCGAGTTCGAGTCCTTGTGTATGCAGCAGCCCTCGCTGGAAGATTCACCCACCATTTTCAGGTGCGCAACGCAGATTGGGTCCGGATTAATCGGAACGAAACCTCGAATACCAGGAAAAAAAAAAAAAAAAACTGATAATGGACAAAGCTAGTAGGACAAAAATGGACAGACACATCATGATTTACTTGCTATACATTCACTCTAACGTTCGTTTCCTTCTTATCCATGCCTTTTCACTATCCATGCCTTTTCAGTTTTCAGCATGATACTCAAACGATCAAAGTTTTACAACTCAATTAGGTTACAATGGCACCCAGTCTCATGTTGGATTTGATGGGGGCGCCTATTTTCTTAGTAATAATTAAAATTTAAATTATTTGTCTTAGTAATAATTAAAATTTAAATTATGATATATATTATTATGTTATAATTTTTTTT